TTTTACTTGTGTATTTGTCCCAGTGAACATTGGCTGTCACCTGAGCCACGTGCTGCTCCAGGAAACACCTGTCACTAAGCAACAACTAACAAACAGCTGAAGGTTTGGCTGCAGTTCCGTCTGGACACTCTAAATTATTCTTCTTAATTATTGTTTTTATTGGAGCTTTGCTGAGATAAAATGAGCTCAGACATCCTGGTGTCCMGGCCGCAGTATGACAGCAGAGCTGTGGCTCACAGGGTCCAGATAAAGAGTCCGGCTCTGGAGCAGGAGGTCCCGCAGCTGTCCTCGGGCTCAGCCACCGCAGGGCTCCGYTCAGCTAAATACACTCCGGAGGAATGGTTCTCCAACTACCGAACCATCCTGGAGCAGGCCGGTACCGACCGCCACCAGGCCCAGAACATCCAGACAGAGTCCAGAACTTTGAGCCAGGACACCGAGGCGACGACGATGAGGACCCAGGCCGACGGAACCCGTCTGCTGGGAGAAAGGCTCCAGGAGACCCACTACTGGAAGTCCGAGCTGCAGCGGCACATCGAGCAGCTGCAGGCCGACACCGGGTCACTGCAGGCGGTGAGGACGCGGCTGGAGAGGGCGCTGGATGCTACAGAGACTCCGTACGCCATCTCCACCGATAACCTGAACTGCAGAGTCAGGAGACCCGGACCAGACCTGGTGAGGGACCCGGTGGAGGAGGAGCTGCTCAGGGTGAGTGACGGTGCACAGGGTGCTGCAGCACCACCTGATGGATGCACAAGTCGTGCTTGTTCAAACGGCCTACAATAAACAGTTTTATCAGTGCTACACATGATTAACTCCTAATAATATATTATTGGGTTTTATAAACTTGGTATAAACACCATTATTTGTGCTAACATTTATAATTGTTTGAAACTTACCAAAACTCAAACAAACTAATGTTAGGTCAAAAGCAATTTTATGATAAAATTATTAAATGTTAGGATAGTTAGCATTCATTAACAGCCATATTCAAATGACCCATAATTTATATTTATTCATAAATGCTGTCAAAATTTATCATTCTTTTTGCAAAGTAGATGACAACATGCAGCATACATGGGTAAAATAAGTATTGAACACGTCACCATTTTTCTCAGTAAATATATTACTAGAGGTGCTAATGACATGAAATTTTCACCAGATGTTGGTAACAACCCAAGTGATCCATACATACAAAGAAATCAAACCATAAATGTCCAGAAATGAAGTTATTTGTAATAATGTGGAATGGCACAGGGAAAAAGCATTGAACAGGAAAGGAGTTGAACTACTGGAACATATATTTGAGGGTGCAGACTTTGTTCCATTTAATAGATTAATAATACAATATGGCAT